TAGTAGCTAATAAATGAAATGATCTTCTCGAAATATTTTTATTAAAGGCCCTTTAAAATAACTAAATGACAGATTTCCCTGCCTTTCATATACCTCAACTTATGAAATCCCCACCCTTTTAGATATATGCACCTGAAGCCTGAAAACGGTACTCCTTTCCGGCGAAGCCTCCCCGTAGGAAGTAACCCCGGGATACCAGTTGATGGTGTGATTGATTGAACACTATGATTGAACACTATATGTACATGTAAATACAGTCATCTTTGTTTCATCCAGAGCTTCCAAAATATCAGCTATAGAAATTGAAGGGGTACGAAACGATGCGATCTTAATAAAATAAATAAATAAATAAATAAATAAATACAAAAAAAGCAGAAAACGAGGAAACGAGGAATCAAAGAAGGTTCATTGTAATAAATTTTAGGACATTTAAATTGGGGTCTTGGTACGGCGTAGGGTGCAATTTAAATTGTTTACTCTTGGTAATCATCATAGTACCCCTGACAGGTTTCTAAACTAAAGCATTCAATAAAGATGTTTATAAAACAGATAGCCCCCTTTGCCGGGGCCACCTTTGCCGGGCGCTTTCCAGTTTAGCCGCAGATAACAGTAAATGCTGTAATCGTGAGATGTTTGATACTTTCTTTTGCTACTGGCATATTGACCATGAAACTCGTCCCCTCACTCACCACCGCCCTCCCCCCTACAGAACCCAAGTCAAGAAAGGCTGTCTCGGAAGTAAGGCCTCGTCCAAACTTGGCCGGTGAAATTTGAAAACGATGTTTTCACTCTGAAAGCGCATCAAATATTTTCCTTCAAAACTACGCAGGAGGAATTTAAAAACGCAACAATCACCGGTCATTTTGGATTTCTGTTTGAGGAAAACTCGATCAGGCAAATCACATGATTATCGCGACTCCATCGATTTCGAAATGTTATTTGTCCACACGAGAACGAAAAGCCGGCGTTTTCAAATTTCTCCGGTTTGAAGAGCGTTTTCGAAGAACTCCGTTTTCGTGCCGGATTAGTGTGGACGGTAGGCCTAACCGTAGAAATAAAGCTGCGTTTTCAGATTT